TCTTTGCAAGGTTGCAGAGAATCCCAATTTTCCCGCGAATATCTTATTCACAGATGAAACATTGTTTACGAGACGAGTAATAATTAACTTCCACAATAACCATTTATGGAGCGACAAAAATCCTCACGTCATTTGAATAACAAATCTTCAGCACAAGTTTTCAATTAACGTTCATGATGGCATTATTGGCAACACGCTCATTGGTCGATTTAGCCTACCAAATAGACTAGATGGTCAGTCTTACCTTAATTTTTTAATGAACGATTTGAACAGCTTGTTAGATGAAGTCCCACTGGATGTGCGGAGGAGCCTTTGGTTCCATCATGATGGCGCTCCGGCACATTTCGCTCGACAAGTAAGAGATTATTTAAATATGAAATACCCTAGACGGTGGATTGAACGTTGTGGTCCAACCCAGTGGCCCACCCGTTCGCCGGACTTAAATCCTTTGGATTTCCATATTTGGGGTCGTGTGAAGGAGCTGAATTTACGTAATTCCAGTAAATTCGATTGATGAATTATGACAACGAATTCAACAAGCCTTTCAAATAATTCGTAATACGCCCTGGATTTTTGAAAGAATAAAAAGATCCTTAGCTCGGAGGGTAGAAACATGTGTCGAATCACAAGGTGGTCACTTCCAGCACCTACTCTGATATTTTACATTTCCAGTTATACAACTTTTATCATTACATTACCTTTTCACCCTTAAATTTGTTGTTTATTGTTTACGTTATTTCATTCTGACAAAATTAGTTGAAACCTAAATTAGTCAAAAACTGTAGTTTTAATCAAAATATTGCAAGAGACCGATTCGATAGACAATTGAACACTTTACAAGAAAATAGTGCCTGTTTGACAAAATTAGCAGTGGCGTAGAAAATATTTTTATAAAAGGGTCACGTTGACCCCGTCTCTACGACACTGCTGCTCATAAAATTTTGAGTAGTACATCAAACATTGGTCTTAAGGTGCTAATTACGCATAGTAAATTTGAAATAGAAATGTTCAGGCAATTTGGAATTATTGCAGACAATGTTTAATTTTACAGAAACTTTGACGCCCTGTATCTCGTTGAGGAGGCATTTGCGACCCTATGTTTATTAAGACTTTTCGTCTTAATTTTTCATGTACAGGGTGATCGAGAATTATTGACCCTGTCGCTACATACTGATTTTTGATGTGCGGCATACCAGTTTTTGATACCAATACTAGAATCATTGTTGCAACATTCCTGGCATCTAAGATGATTCAGCTATACAGTGATATGCTGCAAACTGCCGTTTTTCATCGAAGCAAACGGCTGTATGTTTATAAGACGACTATTTTGCAGCTACTGCCAAAAAATTTACGCTGGACATTTTTGTTAGCTGTTGAAATTCAGCAAGTGTCTTAAAAACGTTTGCTTCAAGCAAATGCAAGCAGTTGGAAGTACTTGATTATGTTAGGCGGCAGGATTGTGCATGATCAAGAGCAATAACCAACAGTTACATGCAATATGTAATAACAGAGTAATTGGAATTTTTTCACATTTTATTGAATATTTTATCTTAAAATTACATAAAATCCATATGGATAATTAAAAAAATTAAAAAATATATCTATATTTTTACAATAATTGTTCAATATGATGTCCATTGTTGTTCAAGCAGGTATTAATTCTCCTTTTCATATTATTAAATACATACATTTTGTGTAATACTCCTAATTTGGTTTGTAATTTCCTCTTGAAGTTCTTCAAGCGTGTGTAACCGTTGAGCAAATACTGATTTTTTTTAAAAACCAAATAAATAATAGTCTAGGGGTGTAAGGTCAGGAGAACGTAGTGGCCATCTATCTCGACTAATTATTCGATCATCATAATACTCTCTAATCAACTCTAAAGTCTCGTTAGAGGTGTGAGCTGTTGCGCCATCTTGCTGAAAGTATCCATGATGGATTTCATCATCGTGAAGTTCCTCAAAAAATGGTAACAATATTTGCTGCCGATATACCTGCCCAGTTACATCTTTATGGAAAAAATATGGTCCGATTATTCTTCTACGTGACATAGCTACCCAAACAAGTTTAATAGGGTGCAGAGTTCTTCCACACAAAATATTAGTGTTTTCTGTGTTCCAAGAGTGATAATTTTGGGAGTTTACGTACCCACTTAAATGAAACCATGCTTTATCAGAAAAAAATGTTAGATCTAGAATATCGTCGTCATTCAGATTTTCGTTAAACCAATTACAGTATTGCACACGTTTTCCAAAATCTAACGGAAGTAGTTCCTGCACAACACTAACTTTATAAGGATGAAAATGCAACTACCCTAAGTACTGCTTTATGGCAGGATCCATGATATAATATATAAAAATTTTCAGTCAATAATTGCAGGGTAGCACAAAAAATGTGTAATTGGATATTTACAAAAATAGTGGTGTACCTACTTAGCGTCCTGTAGAAGTCTGACCAAAATTAAGGACGAATTATTATTTCTCATACCTATAAAAATCCTCAAATACCAAATTTTAGCTAAAACCCAAGGAGATTCTTCACTTGAGTGGTGGTGGATGATGGAACATATTTTATTTTTTACAAAATTAACTTGATCGTAGAGTTGTATAAGTTTTTATTCAATATTAACTCCATTTTTTTTAATTTCATAATAATTTTAAGAAACATGAAGAAAAATATGAAAATATCTGTTTATATCTCAATGCAATCTTTCTTGGGATCATAGGGTGTTTTAATTTTTATTTCACGAATTTGTTTGAGATTCGTTCATCATGAAAATTGTAGGTAGGTTGAATTAAAATTCCCATTATTAATTATTCTTTTATTGACATAATATCCACATATTTCTTATATTCATTAGTATATCTATCTACAACAGGAGTTAATATTATAATCTATCCATAAACTTCGCACCTTACTCCACATACGAGAATTTTTTGATAGATGAAAATAACGTATTGCTGCACTCATCGTATCGAAAAAATTCATATTAATATATTTACAAGTAAAATAATAAATAACATACATAATGCAAATTATCCTATAAAATATTTTCATATAATTGGAAGAAATACTATTAGTAAACAATTTTCTATGTTATTTTGAAATTTCCATCACGAATTTATCCAAAAAGAATAAAATCACTTTCATACGTCTAATGGCAGTAGTAATTGCAACTATTATTTTAATGTCGAACAAGTAACATTAGAAATCAAATTTGGAAGTTTATTAGAAAAGAGTAACCGCAAAAGCTATGATCGATAAAAGTGTGTCTACAACAGGGTTTTATAAAAATTTTATTTCATTCTTATGCAATATGCAACACAATCACTTTGATATCTGCTTACCTAATTAAATATTTGGCAAGTGATATTTGTTGCTACTAATCCATATATATTACAACTTCACCGACTGACAGTTTCATACGAGACGACTACATAAAATACTTTATACAAGATAAATAATAAAATTTATGTTAAAAATAAATATTTGGCTAGTAACCGTATTTCCATTAATTTAAATTAACTAATTTGTATAACGAAACAGGAATCGTTTTTGACATTTAGTAGCATCGAGCAACAGTGGCAAGTTAAGTAGTGATAATTTTAATTTAAAAAATATACTTAATTTTAGTTATTTACTCTCCCTTATATTCAGTAGTAGACACGTACCGTGTATTGCCAAACAATGTATGCACACTTCAGTGTCGTACGTTAAGTTCTGCAGTATATACATAAACATTAATTTTATATTTATATACAAAGATAAAGCAAGTTATTTCTAGATTGTTTTCACTAAAGCTGGAAAAGCACGGATATACATTGTTCAAAAACAAAATTTATAATATCAGTCAACGTATGCGTGTGTTTTTTGTAAATATCTAGTTTTTTCATTCAGAAGTAACAAGTTCCTGTTCTATATTCATCAGAGATGTGCCACGGACATGTCGTGTTGTTGTGAAAAGTGGACTAGTCTTGAGGCCACTTTTCAAGATTGAAAAGTTGCATGCACATAATTATTTGTTGCATTCATAATTCCCGCAAAATATTTTTGAGGTTGGTACATGTAAATTTAAAGATATTTAGCCATTTTCTTGTAATTTTGTTGGTAATTGTTAGTGATGGGAATAATCGAATGAATTTAATAATCGAGAGGTTACCGTTCGAATTAATTTTATAATCGAATGAGCATTCGAATGATATATAATCAAAAGTCCACTTCGAAAATTTCCGACCTATCCCAAATTATATGCGAAACATGTTGATGATTCATGTAAATGAATTACTTTAGCGGATTGCAGCATTTCTTCGTTGTCAGTTGAGTGGTTCAGCAGCATATGTTTAAAATGAGTAGTCTCCGCCTAAAGAGATCCATTGTTTGGGTTTTTGAAAAAAAAATTATATAGAAAACATAATTTTTGTATTATTTTCATTCTTATGAATTTCTACCCTCGCTAAATAAAACTACCTTCTAAATCGCCCTTCAAACCCGAGCGATGCCACTCACAAAATTACTGCATATCTTTTTTATGCGCTGATATTCGATTGTCTCATCCATCCTCTCGGCCGTCTTATCTCGAAATTTTGTAGCTGGTTAGAGTGTTGGAACAATCGAAACACCTGCGCTCTCACTCGAGCAGCGCATTTGCGTTATTCGGTGATGACGAGTGATGATTGACGTTAGTAACGCTGGGGCCACTGTCATTCGTCTCCGAATAATGGAATGATTCTATATGATCACTCGAAATATCTCGAGATTTTCATAATCGATATAACCGATAATTTCCATTCGAGTAGTCCCATCATAATTGTTTAACTGAAACTGACATTTTAAAAATATAACCTCTTTTATATGTCCATACTTTATCATTTTTGGCAAAATCAACGATTAGTAAATAGTAATCAGTTGCTTCTTAATTTAATATTTAATATACAAATAGTTTATAAATGAAGTATGACGCCAAAATCCACAGTTTGGTTATATTTTTCTGAATCGAGTAAAAATTATAAATGTACCTTCTGCTCAAAAACAATTTTTAAGAATTCCAGTAGGATGGAAAAACATTTAAATAAGTGTATTGCCTGTCCGGGGAAAATTAGAAACCAGTTTATAAAAAAGTCTAAAGGTAGGTAATAAGTAAAATATATCGACACATATTCATTAGAATAAAAGTAATATTTTGTTTTGTATACCCTCAACCAGTGACCTGTGAAACATGACGTCACTCATAGGTGCCTCATTAGATTCAAGGTTAAAAGTACTTTTCCCGACATGTCCGGACATTTCATCGACATGTCCGTAACACACTTTTACGAAAAGTGCCCATCTCTAATATTCATTTATTAATACTGAAATCAATTTAAGTAGATAACAATACAAGGTTGATTAAAACGCAACGGGAATTTTCAAATTGCGCGTGTTGTATCTTGTCTATCGAGCTGATTCTTTTTTCGTGTATTGGTAGCACTATCAGTGACGTACCTGTCAACTTTGGGGCAACTGCCATGCTAATTTAACGAGCGAATGAGCTTACCTCAGTGTTTTTGGTGATTTTTTGTGTGGCAAAATGTCAGATCAGAGTTTGTCTGATATTTTGTGTTAAAAACGGAATTAAGTGCAAGAAAACATATTCAAAATATTAAAGACGGCCTTTGACAATGAATTTATCAATGGTACAAATGTTTTCGGGAAGGCCAAGGAGACTTCGAAGATAAGGCGAGACCTGGATAAATGCGAAGATCCTTCTAACCATTTCTTTCTAATACAATGGAATAGTTGATAATGAATTTTTACTGTCCAGTGGTATTACCTACAAGTTCTGCGCAATTTGCGCACGAGAGACAACTCGCGGATTTTGCATCACGACAACACACCGATGCACACCGTTTTGTTTATCCCAGTTCTTAACACAACACCGTTGTGATGCCGCAACCACCTTATTCTCTGGACATGATCCCTGCGACATTTTTCCATTTCCCAAACTCAAAAGGATACTCAAAGGACGATAGATGAGATAATGGTAAAATCGCAAACCGTACTCAAGACGATACCTAAAGAGGTGTTCTTCAAACTGGAAACTATGTTGGTGTAAGTGTATAATATCGCTTTGAAGGGGATGGGATAAAATTTGAAGATTATATAAATACTTCCTGAGAAAATTAACAATTCCCGTTACTTTTTGATCAAACCTTGTATAATTGTAAAATCATATGTCGTTCAGTATCACGTTTCTTTTTTAACTCAAGATCTCCTATACATATATTTACTAAAGGTAAAAGAATCACCACAACACCATGTAAATTTTTCTAACACTTATTAAAAAAGGAGAAGTGTCTCTATTTAAAAGAAGGTATATAATCTCAAAAAATATATAAAATGTAACATTAAATAATTATATCATGTTAAGTTTTAAATGAACTAATTCTTTACCAAATGAAGAATGATTTCATTTAAAATATACAAAATCTTGAAAATCATAATCGTAACTTGGAAATTGAATAGAATTCATTTTAAAATAAAATAAGTCACTAAAAAAAATATATGTATATCAAACGCATATTTTTTTTCATTTTGACACTAATAAATTGCCTCCCCTATTTGTTTAAACTTTCCCATAATTCATCGTCACCCCATTTATCGTCCCAGTTTTTATTTTGTTGATCTTTCGGTTTTTTCTCCTTCTTGTTCGCTTTTTGTGACTTTTCTTCGGGCGAGGTCGTATTACTTTCATACGAAATGTTGGACTGATAACTACCGTGATTCTCATTTTGATATCCCCAACTACCATCCCAATTTTGATTTGGGGACCTTGGACTCGACGCTCTACGTGACAAAAAAAACTATATTGTAGAAAAAGATTTAAATATTGATCATTAATGGTGTCGGCATAAGGTTAATTAACTATTTGGTTATTATATAAAATTGTTAATTAAAAATTGAATATACATCGACTAATATGTGACTTACTTTGATCCTTGCTGACTACTGCAGCTCCATTCATCTTCTCGCGTATATCCATTTCTACTACTTACTAAGGATGATTTTTCCCCTGGAGAATGGTAGTTATCACCGCTCACTTGACCGTAGCCTCCTAAATCATTTGAGTTTGTCGTACCTCCCATCTCCTTCCATCCTTTTCGGCCCAATTCTCCCATCTAGACGAAAAATTAATAGGTCACGTTTTTGCAAATTAAACAAAATACGTTGACTGCATCATCGTGCTATTTACCTTATTTGCCAAAGTCGATACCTGAGAACCTACTTCTTCTAATAATGTACCCTCTTTAACCTAAAGTTTACAAATAAAAATAAATAAATAAAAATTAACAAAACAAAAAAAAATTAACAAACAATAACATTTCTTCTACTGCTGTACTACTTAAGCTTACAAAAACGAGCTAACTATGCGACAAAACCATACTATTCTCATTTTAAACGCAAGTTATACAGAGTGGTTAGATTTGTTTATCAACTTAGGAAATGGTAAATCATCAAAAAGTAAAAATTTGATACACAGGGTGTTTCGTAAATGAAGCGTGCAGATGCACATACAGTAATTCAAAATAAAGTTATAGCAATTTATACAGGCTGTCACAAATTCGCTTCTCACTACAAGGACCTGGAAAACGGTAAGAGATACAAACTAGCTTAAATGGGGGCAAAGTTGCGTAATCAGGGGACCAACATTATGCCTCTAAAAAATTAAGGCTAACATGATTAGTTTTCGAAATATTTGGAAGAAGAACGAAATTTTGGAAATCCATTTTTGTTTCATTTCAGCCTTGTTTGAGGTGATATTGAAAAAAGAAGAACACTTTCTCATGGGCACTTTTTACCCTCTACCGAATGGCATAATCAATTTTTATATGTAACATTTCGTATCTCCAGGACCATCATCCTTTTTTTTAAATTAGAAATTTTATTACATTTTTTGCAAGCCTTCATGACCTCCAATACTGTACTGCCTCAGACCGAACCAGATTCAGACGTTTTGTCTCGAAAAATTCATCTTCAGTGTATTCGTTCCAAATTTATCTAAATTTGTTATTTAAATTTCTTTGTTTATTGAATTATCATACACTGTAAGTGTCGTTAGACCCTGTGAAATCCATCTATTTAAACTATTACTGCCATTAAAATAAAACATTCTTACTGTTTTATTCCCGTGTCCATAGTTATTTCTAGGCTTCTCAAGTGCTCAAAATTCAAACAAATTCCAATCTATTTTTTTAAGATATTCATACAAATACATCTGACATGCTCTTTCATAGTTGCAGTTACAGATATAATAAATTCCGATAATATTACGCTGATCTACATTTTCAACCTTTGCCAAAACGAAAATGTTTTTGAAGATTTACTAAAATTTTTAAAAAAATAATATTCAGTTGGCGTTTTGGTTGTTCATATGCATTTTTAAGAATTAATTTGTCATAATAAAATTAAAATTGTAATAATGTTTTAATTTTGACACAACTTATTGAGTTTATGTATGACCAAGTGATGGTAATAGTTAATAATAATAAATGTTTTATTGTAACGCCTGGTGGTAAAAGCTTAAATAACTAGATGAAATTCACAGGGTCTAACGACACTTACAGTGTACGATAATTCAATAAACAAAGAAATCTAAAAAAAAATTTTATATAAATTTGGAACGAATACACTGAAGTTGAATTTTTCGAGACAGAACGTCTGAATTTGGTTTGGGCTGAGGCAGTACAGTATTGAGGGTCATGAGGGCTTGCAAAAAAATGTAATAAAATTTCTAGGGTCGTATTTAAAAAAATGAAGTTGATGATGGTCCTGGAGAGACGAAATGTTACATATAAAAATTGATTATGCCATTCGATAGAAGGCAAAAAGTGGCAATGAGAAAGTGTTCTTTTTTCAGTATCACCTCAAACAAGGCTGAAATGAAACAAAAACGGATTTCCAAAATTTCGGTTTTTTTCAAATACTTCGTAAACTAATAATGTTACCATTGATTTTTTAGAGGCATAATGTTGGTCCCCTGATTACGCAACTTTGCCCCCCCCCCACATTTAAGCTACTTCGTACCTCTTACCGTTTCCGACATCCCTGTAGTGAGAAGCGAATTTGTAACAGTCTGTATACAGACGAACTTGCATCCCTGAGGAACTCCCAAAGATCCCAAAGTAAGGATTCAAATTTTGAAAAAAATACAGCCATTTAAGAACCAAATTTAGTGCATGATTTAAGCTTATTATGGGTATTAAATAACAATAACAATAATCGGAGACCTGTGTGGGAGGGGGGTAGATTATTATTTGGTAGGTTGCATTTATGCCCAGAAACAACTTACATTGGAAGCCCTAACCACAATTCAATGCAGAAATGAGGAAAATTTGAAAAACCTCTACGAGCATCTACAATGTTATGCCCATGGGGATCAAACCCGCGACAGTGGCAACATCATTTCAATCAAGTATAGATGCCTTAAACCTCTCAGCTACCAAATGAGCAAATGGTAAACAAATAGTAATGGGAGCACTGCAAGGAATTGATTGCGGATGATACACTACTAAGTTTTTATATACAGGGTTCCGTGTTTTTTGTAGCAGGACTTCCACAACTTGTACTAAAAGTTCTTTAAAAAAAAGTTCATGTAAACATATATGTATAGATGCGTCGTTTTCGATTTACAGTGTTTAAGTTTAAAATGAGAATTGATTTTTTATTCGTAAAACGAAAACCCCTTTTTAGACTTTGTTGAAACTTGGCAACTTTGTAATAATAATACTGATTTTCTCACATAATTTAATTTGTCCTATTTTCTCCAGTGGCGTCACAAGATACCAGCTTAATAAAAATAGAAAAAAATATGTTACGCCACTGCTTTTTGGTAAGTTTGAAATTTTTGAAACTATCAAAAATACAACTTTTTTGTTATTTACTTTTTTTTCCTATCTCGCTTTGTTTAGTCAGAAATAAAACATTTTCATGAATAGGTTCGAGATTTGCTTAATTTATTTATTTACTTGTTACAAAGTGTGCCGTGAATATGTCTGTTTTTGAGTTGCCAAGGATTTTTTGTTGGGACCTTACATCCTGCCCAATAGATTAAGCGGTCAATTATTACTTGATTTTATAACTACCCAGCATAATAACATGCTAGATGATGTTCCCTTTCAACAAAGAATAGACTCGTTTTTTTCAATTAGATCCCAGTACTCTTTGGTGGTACGAAACTGGCTGAATACAGAGTATCCACAGAGATGGGTGGATCGTGAAGGTCCAGTTGGGAGGGCTCTGCGATCACCTGATCTAACACCTTTGGATTTTTTTGTTTGGGGATTAAGGATGCAGTTTACTCTACGCCTGTTAACTCACAAGAGGAACTTGTACGACGAATCCGGAACGCTGCTCTCAGAATAACTCGACATCATTTGAGAGACGTTAGGCGGTCTTTGATACGTCGCTGTAATTTGTGTGTACACCGAAATGGTGGGCATTTCGAACAGCTCCTTTCTATTTATACAATAAGTTGTTTTTCCATACCGTGTTGTTTATTTTTTTTATTATCTTACAATAAACTGTGTGAAACAAAATGTTCTATTTCTGTCTAAACAAGGCGAGATTGGAAAAAAAGTAAATAACAAAAAAGTTGTATTTTTGATAGCTAAATCTGAGAAAAATTTTAATCTTACCAGAAAGCAGTGGCCTACCATATTTTTTTCTTTTTTTATCAAGCTGGTATCTTGTTGTGACGCCACTGGAGAAAATAGGACAAATTAAATTATGTGAGAACATGAGTATCTATTATTATTACAAACAAAGTTGCCAAGTTTCAACAAAGTCTAAAAAGGGGTTTTCGTTTTACAAATAAAAAATCAATTCTCATTTTAAACTTGAACACTGTAAATCGAAAACGACGCATCTATACATATATGTTTACATGAACTTTTTTTTTGAAGGACTTTTAGTACAAGTTGTGAAAGTCCTGCTACAAAAAAGGCGGACACCCTGTATATTCTTTTGTCAGCTGGACGATCATAAAAAAATGTGTTTTAAGCCAGGCACCTTACTATTTTATTTTACGGTGGTTATATCAATGGCATAATATGAAGAAACATCAATGTAATTTCAAAAAATTTCAATGAAATAGAGTTACAGCTATTTTGTAGTGAATGTTCATTAGGCCGTTTTTTTTTAATGGCTTTTTTTCAGCATTCTTCGTTACTTTTTAAAATCGCCAGGTGCCATAATATAATTATCGTTATTTACCAAGTCCCAAATAGTTCAACAATTAAAGGTACACCTTTTCTTTTGTAGAAAACATTATTTTATGGGAACAGTGATCTTAAACGTAATTATTTATTAAAAAATGTTTTCAAAAATACGATTTATTCGGAAATTGTCAAATTTACAAGAAAACGTGAGGATTTTTGTGTGCTGTAAATTAAGGAGAAATTCAGATAAATTAAATTGTAAAACACTGTCTTTAGGGTCTTTTTTAAGAAAACTGACACTCTATACTCTAAATGTAAACATTTTTTAATAGAATATATATACAGGGTGTGCCATTTAACACTGGGATCACTAAGGCGATTTTTTGCAGATCGTGTTCTTTTGAAATGTAGATTCACTGGTATCATTTATGCTACTCCATTCAAAAACACCCTGTATATTCAGGGTGTGCTATTTAACACTCCCGCTGCCAATACCTCCAAAATGAAGAAATTTATTTTAGTTTCGGAAACTGGGGTTGTTAGGTCCCTCCAATAGCTTCAAATTGCAGATAGAATTGTTAGTTCAAATATTTCTGTATAGATGGCGTGGTGATACTAAAATTTTATTTGATTCCTGGAACGTGGAAATGCAGTCCATCTGAAAGATCATTAAATTTTGAGTAATTTTTGTAATATAAAATTTTTCCCAATCTTTACTTGTTTTTGAGATATGTCGACTTCAATATGCAATGTATGATGTAACAGGAAAATCTATTATTTTATTTAAATTACACTGAGACAAAATATTCTTTTAAAATATTGTTATAATGGCTTTATTCACACCACATGCTAACTAACAAACAATAAATTATAAAATAAAACAAATGATCAACTACAGAAAAAAATTTGTACAATGGTAAATCTTATAAGGGGCAGAGACGAGCCGTATTTTATCAAATATGTGTTATTAAAAAATTCAGTCATAGGTGGCTCATTTGTTTAAAATAAAACATGTATGACAGATGACACATTAGTTTAGACACACTTTAACTATACTAGTTATTAAAATATTTTTACATAATGAATTACTCAAATGAAGATAAATTAGATATGGTATTAATATTTGGCGAAGCTCAACGAAATGCTGCTGCTGCACGACAGTTATATGCTATACGTTTTCCAATGAGGCCTCACCCGGATAGGAAAACATTAGTAACTTTATGTCTAAATTTACTAAATTACGGTAGTTTTATGGCTCCAACAGGATGGAGCGCGCCCCCACAATACTAATGCTGTACAAGAATACTTAAATCAGAGGTTACGGGAAGGTGGTTAGGTATTAATGGAGTTATAAAGTGGCCGGCTCATTCACCAAATTTGACCCCATTCGATTTTTTCCTATTTAAAAAACATTGTATATCAGAACCCTATAGAAGACATGGCAGATTTGTATAATAAAATGTATGCAGCTACGGCGGCTTTAGATCGTGACATTTTATTAAGAGCCTGTAATGCTGAACTAACGAGAAGACTAACATTTTTGTTTTAACTTACTTCAGTAACTAGGTACATTTACATCTCCATTATTATTTTAAATACTTTCTGTTACTGTTTCTGTAATTGATTATTTGTTTTTTTTTATAAAATATTGTTTATTAATTAGTATGGGCGTGAATAGTCATTATAAAAATATTTTAAAAGAATATTTTGTCTCAGTGTGATTTAAATAAAATAATAAATTTTCCTGTTACATCATACATTACATATTGACGTCGACATATCTCGAAAACAAGTAAATATAAGGAAAAACTTTATATTACAAAAATTACTCAAAAATTTAACGATCTTTCAGATAAACTGCATTTCCACGTTCCAGGGATCAAAAAATTTGTTAGTATCGCCATGCCATCTGTACAGAAAGATTTCAACTAACAGTTCTAACTGCAATTTGAAGCTATACGAGGGATCTAACAACCCCAGTTTCTGAAACTAAAATATATTTCTTAATTTCGGAGATATTAGCAGCGGGAGTGTTAAATAGCACACCCTGAATATACAGGGTGTTTTTGAATGGAGTAGCATAAATGATACCAGTGAATCTACATTTCAAAAGAACACGATCTGCAAAAAACGCCTTAGTAAAATGTTCACCCCTGAAGAGATATGGGCCATCAAAATTTCCAAAAAAAATATGGAAATTGTTTGTAATTTGAAAACCGAACAAGGTACAAATAACAAATTTTTTACAGGTTGTTTACTAATACAGATGCGAGTTTTCAACTATTTTTCGAAAATTTTAACCCCTCAAAAGGGGTTGAAATAACCACCCCTATAGCCATTTTTTGCCATAACTTTTATATTTCGGTAAAATCTCGATATCCAAAAATACACATTAGATAAACTGGTTCTATCAGAAACTTTTACCTTTCTAGCAATTTTCCTTTAAAACTTTTCGTTTATTAATAAAAAAATAAAATGTATTACCATTCACCTCACACCGTATATGATTGCAATCAATCAAAGAAAAACTAATTGTAAGTGTGCTGCTGTCATGCCAGTTGTCACAATTAACTCTTCTGTAAGTTGTCACTGTTATCAGCTAAATACTTTTTGGGTGTAAATTGACAAGAATTATGCCAAATTTTACTAATGATGAATATGTGGACATGCTACAAGTGTTTTTTTCTACGATCGTGCAAAATTTACTACTTATTGCACTACCTACTGTGCCAAAAGTTTAACTTTTTTTACAGTAGTACAAAAAAAATATTGATTACAAGTTTAATCTAAGCATATCCATAAGTACCTAACGTCTGACATTGACAATTTGCGCAATTAATTTCCAGTTGTCAGTTAAAATTTTAATATTATGTAAAATACTGTTAAATAAAATTTGAAATAAAAACAATCGTAGAAAAAATGTTGCGTGCAACATGTGCAAAAAGCATATTTGTTGCACTTAACATGATTGCAGCTCTCAACTTCGTCTCGAGCTGCAAACTTCATGCATCGTACAACAAATACACACTCTTTACAGTAGTTGCACAAATAACTGTTTGAATGTCACAGAAACTTTTATTAAATAGAAGTACAATGAAAACGAAACTAAGAAATAATTTATTATCAAAAAGAGAAAAAACAAAAAACTTAGTTAAAGGACATTTTCAAAATAATTGCCATTTCTTTCTAAACACAACCTAATACGTTTATCAAAGTTGTTACGGACTCGAACAAAAATTATGGGATTGTTGCGAATCTCATCAGCCGACGCGAATATTCTTTCCTGTAGGTCTTCAACACTGTCAACTGGGGTCGCAAAAACAATACTTTTTATATGTCCCCAAAAGAAAAAATCCATAGGCGTTAAATCGGGAGAACGTGCAGGCCAAGAGATAGGTGCCTCATTGCCGCGACCTATCCAACGATTCGGGTAATTTAAATTAAGCCACCGCCTAACTACTACAGTGTTGTGAGCAGGAGCCCCGTCATGCATGTACCACATGGCCTGACATACATTTAATAGTACTTCCTCCAGAAGTGGTGGTAGATGCTCATTTAAGAACTGCAAATATTCAACAGCACCAAGTCGATGAGGTAAAACAAAAGGGCCGACAAGCACATTTCCTACAATTCCTGCCCAAATGTTTAAACTAAAATTATGTTGAAATGTTGTCATAGATACTTCGTGAGGATTTTCAGGAGCCCAGGAATGAAGATTGTGCATATTGGTTAAACCATGTCTTTGAAAAGTTGCTTCATCTGTGAAAAGTATTTTTGAGGCAAAATTCAAATTATTTCTTAGAATATTAAGATACGATTCACAAAAAACAACTCGCTTATGCATGTCTGGTTCAAGTAGAGCTTGAACTGGCCGGTGCGGTGGTGAAAAGGATATAATAAATTATCATGGACAATATTCCAAACAACACTATGGGACACATTTAAGTGCATTGCTGTTTTCTCGTACTAGTCTGACGATTTTCGTCTAACTCTTCAAGTACCTACTGCACCCTCAAGATAAATAGTACGAACAGTATGTCTTCAGCCGGTACCCTCAATATGCGGCTGTATTTTTCCAGTTTCCAGTATTTAGCTGATAACAGTGACAACTTACAGAAGAGTTAATTGTGACAACTGGCATGACAGCAGCACACGTAGTGTTTCTTTGATTGATTGCAATCATATACGGTGTGAGGTGAACGGTAATACATTTTATTTTTTTATTAATAAACGAAAAGTTTTAAAGGAAAATTGATAGAGAGGTAAAAGTTTCTAAAAGAACCAGTTTATCTAATGCGTATTTTTGGATATCGAGTTTTTACGAAATATAAAAGTTATGGCAAAAAATGGCTTGAGGGGTGGTTATTTCAACCACTTTCAAGGGGTTAAAATTTTCGAAAAATAGTTGAAAACTCGCATCTGTATTAGTAAACAACCTGTAAAAAATTTGTTATTTGTACCTAGTTCGGTTTTGAAATTACAGCCAATTTTCATAATTTTTTTGAAAACTTTGATGGCCCATATCTCTTCAGGGGTGAACATTTTACTAAGGCGATTTTTTGCAGATCGTGTTCTTTTGAAATGTAGATTCACTGATATCATTTATGCTACTCCATTCAAAAACACCCTGTATATATATAAAACAAATTATCATTATTTTTTGATAATTTACCTGTCCCTTATAGATAAAAAAAAAATCAAACCATCCTATACGTACCATAAAAAATTTATAAGGAACTGACAATACAAAAAGGATTCTGGAATGATATTTTGTCAAAGTGGAAGGCCAGTGCTGAGATTTTAGTTGAATTTCCCATTAAGAGATGGTGCAATTAAAGCATGGCACATCACAGCTAGCAGAACAATTTCCGGTTAAATAATGATTTCAAAAATAAAACAATACATGGTAAGTTTTTTGTCGCACTATTTCATTTTCTGTTAATATCTGAAAAGGTGGTAAACACCCCATTGTAATGGGGAAATATGTCAATTTGTAAATTGGAACAGCTACGTAATAATTTTTACCTACGACCACTACTGTAAATACTTAAAAACACACTGTCTGCGATCAATGTAAGATTCCTATTACGTACGGTAAAAAAAACGCACAGTTTTCCTAGCAACTGCCTAGCAACGGCCAATACAATACTGTTTGTATTGACAGTTGCTAGGCGGTTACTAGGAAAACTACGATTTTTTTACCAAGCTGTGTGATTTTTTTACCGTACGACGTAATAGGAATCTTGCATTGATCGCAGACGGTACGTTTTTAAGTATTTAAAGTAGTGGTCATAGGTAAAGTATAGTAGGTAATACGTGGTGTAATGCAATTACGCACTCATAGAATTACGCACTCGCCGCTACGCGGCGTCGTGCGTAACTTTTCCATTTGTGCGTAAAATGCTTTTTACAACACTTATTACGTAATATACTATATGAAATGCATTTTTTTTCATAATAATCTATTTCTGTTCCAGTAAGACAGCCCAGTGACTCACATTAGCTGGGAAAACTATAACAAGCCACTGCTTTAATTGATATTGCAGTTATTATTCTATGAATATTTTACATAAGAAATATAAGGAATTGAATTTTTGATCTGTTTTTGTTTAGTTATGTTTTGATGGGAACATTTTCCACAGGACCAATTTGAATTAAAAATATGAAAGTATAAAATAAGCTCATTTCTACAGCAGTACAACAGTTTCTTAATTTTTCAAATTAAAAAACTCACGAACATAATTAAATCAAAAACAAAAATACAAAACAAACCTTTTCCCCTACTTGTGAGCTAAAATCAACTACCTTCTGGCTTGCAATCCCTCCATATTTTACAGCATTTTCAGTTGCTTTGCTTGCTATTTTAGTAGCTGAAGATGCCAGAAAAGACCAACCCTAGAAGTAGATAAAATAGATTTTGTAATCATTAGCAACCTTGGTCAGGTCTTACGGTTGACAAAGAGGAAATAGCAGTGTCTACAAACTCTTGGGACTGGCTTCTAGGTGGTGCTTCTTTTGTATAACCGAAACCGCTATACCTTCCTCCTTGGCTTGGTGGTAGGTCACTGAAATGGGGCATCATAGAATATTGTACAAAAAGAGGTACATCGTTTAAACTTCAAAAAAATTTTAAAATATTGGGCTATACATAAAGTACGTTTTTTTTTTAAATTTTTCTATTATATATTGTGATTTTTAATAAGATAAATTCAAATTTACAAATGCAAACGTAGTTTGTTCAAGTTAGTATTTAAATTATTAAGTAGGTACCCCTCTTACATCCTACATTGACCTACATGTCCAATGTGTTAAAAATCCTATTAGCTAAACAAAAAGAAAAAAACGGTGTGCTTTAAATTTTTCATATAATTAAGTATCTTACTCTCTTCTACCGGCATTCTCAAACTGTTTCTTGGCAAAGAAGGCTTCTTTTTGGTCCTTAAATTCTGGTGAGTTATAGTTTTGGTAGCTGCCCTGGTAGCTTTCGGCATTATTATAAGATGACTGATATGAAGTAGTGGAAGAGTTGGAATAAGTATTTGAACTCTGAGATGGTTGGCTAATTAAGCTGCTTTTGAAATTTTGAGCAGACTTTTTTTCATCCCACGGTTTTCCCTGCGCTAATGCAGAAATCTGTGGAAGATATTATGGTCAGGTACTCCTTTAAATTTCTCGTGTCACTTTATTTCAGTAGCACTAATTCATAAATTGTCAATTATATAAAAAAAGAATATTGAAAACTACTTATCTTATTCATTGAAACTCTCAATTATATTTTGTGAAAAAAATAAAATTAAAAGCAGTTCTCTTACCCTATCCCTATACAAAGCGGCTGCTTTAGTATTATACTTTTGTTGAATAGTCATAGTGTCATCCCAGTCGGGCTGAGCTTCGAAAAATATTCTTGCATTTCTGTTTCCTCCAACTTTCATCTTATCCAATTCTATGTCTTTCCACTTGTCCATAGTAACAGATCGAACAAATGATAAATGAACTCCTAAGCCACGGTGTTTACCTGAACACTCTAAACAAATCCATATTCCATATGTTACAGACACCCATTGTGGATTATGTGTACCACATTCGAAACATTTCTGTAACAAATTAGTAACTTAATACAATTTTATTTTAATAAGCACCATTTTTACTTACATTATTTTCATCGTGTGGTTTCAGTTCTTGTAAAACCCGTCTAGTCCTCGGACTGGCCATCTTAATTAAAATTTCTTAAAAAGATTACTTTAATAAAGTAATATAGTTTAACGTGATAGCATGACAAGTTACTAATATTTTTTAAATTAAGCTATATCTAGATCTACAAAAAATTATAACAGATACGTTATTCGAACTGTAATAAAGACGTGTCAAAATTTTTATGTTGTCCTGTTCCTGTTCCAACTTCAAACTTGTGCAAAGTATTAGGCACTTGTATGTTTGTTAATCAACAGTAAATGTAGTTGTGTATTTTAAGAAATTTTCACTATTTCAAATAAAACAAAATAGAAATTTTACACCATGTATTTCACAAACAACAATATTGCTACTTATATACTGTATGTAATTACTTATTTTAAATATAAATATAAAATAAATGTTACTCTCACTACTCTTAACCCTGAACAGTCTGATCTGAACTACTCTAATCTTAACACGTCATATTTAAATGTCAATATTAGTAAGATGAAGTTAGCTGATTGGTTCTCTGCAAGAGTATACCAAAGAGCCTTTCGATTTGGCAAAAATAATAGCTATTAGTAGCTGATAGCAACTTAGATTTACTCTGAACTGATATTAGTTGCTAATAGATATGTGCTAATAGGTACTATTTTTGTCAAAACGAAAGCCCCCAAATATACTAAATAAGCAATTAAAAGTAGAATTTGGGTTGTGGGACTTGTGGGTACTCTATTTCTAGATGATCTGTATCACATGGTAATAGTTCGCCACCCGAAAAAAAATAAAAAAAATTAAAAAATTAAAAAAATAGTAATAAGTTATATCTTGCATGGAGGGTTCTAGTCGCAACTCGCAACATACCTCAGTTTAAAAATAGTTTATGTAGTTGTGCTTTCAGGTGTATCAGTTGGAGCACTGCAGAGCACTCATCAAGTATTTTTAAAAGTTCCATTGAACAGTGGTTATTTGGTTTCTCAAAATGCGTTAAACGATTTAACAAATTAACATTGAATTAAATCTGAGTTTGTAGTTAAATTTTACATACTCGTTCTGTACTATATTTAACGTAATTTTTATTACTTTATTTTTCATCATTGGGTTTAATAAATTTGTTGCTGGTTGAAATGATGTCATAGCCAACACTTCTGTATAACAATTGGTAGCGATGAGTGACTCTCAAAAATGATTTGTAAAAACTAGGTTAGAAATTTAATGAAATTCTAGGTTAAGTCAGATGTAGCAAAAATGGCTAGTTTTCGATCAATATGTATTATATCCGTATTTATTATATTAAATATATATTTAACATCAGCTCTATATGAAGATCAAGTAGGAAAGTTTGACTGGAAAAGATCATTTATAGGAAAAGTTAAATATGCTAATTTTGATTCCAAAAGGTTAATTGTTGCCACTGAAGAAAATGTTTTGGCTAGTTTAAATGTAAAGAATGGACAAATTTTGTGGAGACAGTTTTTGGAAAACCCTAAAGTTCAACAAATTGAAGCAATACATGTAGATGCAGAAATAATTACAGTGTCTGGTGCTGCAAATAACTGGTTTGTGCGCAGTTGGGACTTAAACACGGGAACATTATTGTCAGAATGGACTTTGAATAATGAAAGAATAGTTCCAAACAAATTTATAATTTATAAAGACACACTTATTCATGTAGTTCTGTTTGCGGGCTCTCACTTAGAAGCAACAAATTATAATTTACGAAATGGAGAAAATGAAGCAAAAGTTACTAAAATATCGGCTCCCTGGATTACGAGTATTTCAAATTGTTTAGTCACTCAAAATTATTTTGCTTGTATATCTAGTAACGATAATCTAGGTCAATTGTATTATGTTGATTTAACATTAGAAAATAGTAAAGTCTATACAAGATCGATACAGAGCTTGATAGGCGATGGACCTGGAACAGTACAAATAGTAGACTTTGGAGGAGGAATACCAGCGTTTCTATTATTGAGAAATAATGTAGCCATTTTGGTTCATGTTGATGGTGAAAAAGTTGAGGTTAAACCATTTAATTTAATGCCAAATGCTGTAGGTGTACTAAATAATGGCAGATATTTTATATACCAACTTGAAGCTACAGAAAATCCTGAAAAATTGATTAGAGTAAAATCTAAAGATTTTCTTAATGGTCTTGACGAATTTTCTGTAGATTTGGATTATCCACTTGGTTTAGGAGCCCCAGTTATCTTAGCAAGTCAATGCAAAGGGTCTGTTTGTGATTTACTATTAACTACAACAGACGATGCTCTTTTATTAGTTAGATTACCTGAAGGAAAAATTCTTTGGACAAGAGAAGAAGCACTGAGTAATATAGTTGCAACAGAATTTTTTGAATTGCCTGTATCTGAGTTAGACGTGTCTATAGAAAATGAATTCAAAACATCCTCAAACAGTATCCTTAACATGCTCGTACATAGACTTTCTACCCAAGTTAAACAACTTACAAATTTAATTTTTGGCGGGCAACTTTTAACGAATCATGGTTTAGTGAGAGATGAATTTGGTTTGCATAAAATAATAGTCGTAGCTACAAAAGTAGGGAAGTTGTTTGCTATTGACACTTTAACAGGCTCGATAGCTTGGAGTTACAGATTGCCTAATATTAAACCTTTTAATTCCTTAAATTCAGAGGAAATGCTGTTATTAGTTCAAAGAACTGCACGATATGCACCTTTGCCTGCACAATGTGTACTTCTAGCCCAAGATGCAGTTACCAAAAAAGGAGTTATGTTCCAGTTTGATCCAATTACAGGAATTTCTAATAATGGAATCCACAGATTAGATTACAAAATTTCACAAACTATGTTAGTACCACATGAAGATGAGAATAATCTTAAATCTGTTATAGTACTGTCCACGGACAACAAGGTGTTTATTTATCCTGACACTTCCCGACAGTTAGCATACCAGCATCGTAATAATTTGTTCATGTATGTTGTTAACTCGAATAATGGAATATTAGCAGGTTACAATTTTCGCCACAGCACTGAAGATGTCTTGAAGGTAACACCAATATGGAACATTAATGTTACTCCTTCCAAGTTAGTGGCAGTGAAAGCGAAACATTCGAATGAGAGGGTACACTCCCAGGGCCGAGTACTTCCTGATCGATCTGTTTATTATAAATATGTAAATCCAAATCTAATAGCTGTTGCAAGTATAAGTGAAGACCCAATTCATAAACATGTTTTAAATGTTTATTTGGTAGATGGTGTTACTGGTTTCGTGCTATATTCCACTTCACACAAGAGAGCAAAAGAACCTATTCATCTCGTACACTCTGAGAATTGGTTGGTGTACTCCTACTTTAGTGAAAGGTTCCGAAGAACCGAGGTAGTTTCTGTTGAACTGTATGAGGGTATAGTTCAAAGCAATAGTTCTGTGTTTAGTTCACATGCGATAAGTTCCTTACCGCATGCGCTCTCTCAGTCATATATTTTACCTGCGAACCCATTAAAGATGGCTGTGACATTAACAGAAAGAGGTATAACTAATAAGTTTCTACTCATAGCATTAAGCAATGGCGGAGTCATTGAAATACCTTGGTTGTTGCTTCAACCGAGGTTTGATGATGTACCTTGTGGACCTGAAGAAAGTTGCATTCCATACATGCCAGAAATACCTCTCCCTTCGGAAGCTGTTATAAATTATAACCAAACGTTAGGAAATATACGAGGTATTGAAATCGCCCCCGCACGGCTTGAGAGTACTAGTCATGTTTTAATCCACGGATTAGATTTATTTTATACAAAAGTAGCGCCATCCAAAACATTCGATGTACTCAAAGAGGATTTTGATCATTTAATGATTGTGTTAGTTTTAGCTGGACTTATATTAGCATCTTATATAACTAAACACCTTGCTTCAAGAAAAGCACTTAAACAAATTTGGAAATAGGGGTTGTAACATCTAGGTAATTATTGTTATGTTTGTAAATTAGGATTCTAAATAATTCCAAGCTACAGAAACTACTAATACTTTTTTAATTTGTAGATTTAAGAGATGTGATGGGGTTAATAGGTTGTGTAGCTTGCCTTTTTATTGTTTCATGTAGTATTGCCATTTTATCTGTAAAAATTACACCTATGATAATTTAAATTTGATACAAATGTATTTATTACCTTCAATTTTGTATAATATAAATTAACGCTGACTGATTCAGAGAAATGCCCTTTTGTATATTGTAAGTTGTTAAGAATTAATGTTCAGAATGTACAAATAAAAGGTAAATCAAATATGCTGCTTTTTTTTAATTAAAACTGATTTTGAATGCTAAAATTTGTGAACAAAGCAATGTACCTATGTTAATAAAATTGATTATAAATAAAGTACTAAAACCATGTCACATATGCTTGCAGTAACTACAATATTTTGCTATTATCAAAATTTTTCTACATAACAATTATTTGACACAAATGAAGTTATATTTCAAGTACATACCATTTTAATTTGAAAAATGGAAGCTACTACATTGAATTTATCTAAGTTAGTACCATAAAATTGTTTACTTAAACTGTAAACTAATTAAAGACAAGGACATAAATCATGCACTGAAATTAGCTTCAGATTGACCTGTTCTTTCAACAAGTAATGATAATGTAATAATTAAAATAAATATATTATTTCCATTAATTAATAAAAGGAGTGCTTAAAAAATAAAAAATAAAAATGCTTAAACCTCTAGTAAAAGTTTAATTTATATTAATACGTCCCTGCAGTTTTAGTTCCATTTAACTGCTAGTGGTGGCAGGAGCAGCAGTTTGTGATTTGACATTTAGGGGGTCGTTTGTTGTTCGCTTGTCAGATAGGATAAATAAGATAATAATTTATAGAATTATGCGAAATACTTTACTCCGGTTTAATTGTACCTCAGTGCTAATAGTACTTAACGTACTTTCACTTTGCTTCACTATTTGAAGGTTAGTTTGTTGCATTCGGTATCCTACTGATTTTTTAGTTGTTTTTTATTTATTTCATCCCTCTGCAGTAATAACTCTCGACAGTCGAATATAATTAACTAATTAGTAAGTATATACTCTATTATATTTTTCACATCTCATGCATTACAGTAGATAAAAAAAATAAGTGTGCAATTATAAGTAAACTGTTAGAAGTGTTAGAATCATAATTTAAAAATATATCAAATACGAAAAAATTCATCAATCATGTGGATTTGAATAGATTTTGTTATTATCTTGAACTACTGGTAGTTAGAAGCATAAAAGCTATTTGTAGAAAACAAAAGAGTAGTCAGCAGAGCTTCCAAATGATTCAGAAAATTTTCAGTTCAGTTCGCTCTCAGCGGTGCAATAGCGAGGTGTGTTAGTATCTCCGTCGAGTTATCAATTTGTCTCGTGTTGTGATTGTGAACAATAATTGAATTGAATTACTTGGTGATACATCATCTCTGAATACTTGATCAAGATTTTAAGCAGCGCGAATTGATAAAGGACAATAGCTCTGATTTAATGGTAAGTCCTCATAAATATACCTACTGAGAATGAATATTAATAAGATAATTAGCTTAGCTTCCAAGATTAGTACCGAGTACAAGATGATTTATTAATCTTAATCCCTATCTCAAAAATAAGAGCAAAGGAAATAATATATGGTTCCTGTATTTCTGTTTATGATACATCGATTTTAGATCTCTGAAAGTAGAAATTAATCTAATAGATATACATTTTTTTAGGATGCTGTTAGGTATAGGTAAATTGAAATAAAAAGAAACTATTTGCCAAATATTTATGCACCAAAATGCGTACGAATCCATAAATAGTAACCTAGGTATAGTAACCAAATCAAGACAAAAATTGCGCAATGATCAAAAGCATTTATCATTTCATTTTAAGTACCTACATAAGCAATAAGCATATAGGTGCACAGTAAATTATTTTGTTACTTTATCATTTTACATTCATGAAATCGATTTTAATAATATAGCAGGATGCAGGGGCAAGTGATATCGAGATACTTGGATTCAATGCTTTAACTTAAAATCAACGATAAATCGATTTATTAAATAATCCATAACACTTTACCGATTGAACCAATGATGTTTTTTTTTGCAAACCTGTTTTTGGGCTTATCAAATATGTATATTGTATTTAGCACATTTAATTTCGTTAATTATACAACAAAATAGATATACATATATTTACCTAAGCCTGTATTTGCAATAGCAGCAATTTGTAGAATCCACTAATTGTTATCTAAATTGTTCTCACATTTTTGGTGTCTGTACTACGATAACAATTTTTTTTCGTTTTTTTAACGTGTCGTGATGATTAATTGGCTCATAGCTTATTATAAATCTCAATTGGTATTTGTGTTCGACATATATAAAACATGATATAAGTTAATAACTTTGCCGATAACGGTGGGTGCTATATGCACCTTTATTTGTGTTGACAAACTGACATTATTTGCTAATGTGCAAATTCCCATAATGGAAAAAGTTTAAAATTTATTTATGAATAGTTACAGAACAGTACACAATACAAAATAAAATAGCGAAGAAGTAGTCGGTTTAACGTTGAAAAATATCTCTTGAAATGGTAAAACAGGAAAATTCGAAGTAGATATACCTACTTATTTATGGTGACGATGGCGTTGTATCTTTTTCATACCTAACATCTCAATTAATAAAAATCAGGGAATAAACGACTGTTATCTTTGTGGATATTGTACTGTACTCTATGATCTAAAAGACAGCATTCGTAATTCTGTGTTTGCTGACTATAACTTGAGTAAAGAAAAAATCATGAAAGTGCAGGTATGATTGGCATTTTATCGATAATAGCCTTAAGCCTATTTTCTTTATGTTTAAAAAACACCTGCATGTCACAAATTGTGACTGAATTTTATAGGTTTGTGGTAGATATCCACAAAATAAATAATAGAGTCTCAAAAATCATGAGAAAATGCTCAAATTTCGAGATATAGGATTGTTCAAATTGAAATTAAAATGATATTTAAGAGCCAGAAACTTAGAGGCCTAGTTAAAATTGTGCCCATTTTTTCGCTAACTTAAGACCAAAACTTTAGGGTTTATACCGAGGTTTATACTTTTTCACACAAAATTATTTAATTGCTGCCTAATAAAATATAATCAAATTTTATTTTTCTCATATACTTAAGCGATTAACAAAGTTATCTTTTGTATGTACATACCAACAAATGGGTGATTTTAAATAAGTGACAAAATGTAATGGGACAACATTTTACCTATATAGGTCAACAGTTCTATATAAGTGTCACCGAGAGTGTCACTGTGTCTTATAAAAGATAAAATATGAAATATAAATGTAATTAAAACAGTTTAGTAATTTTGTTCGATCATTATTTTTTTTAGCATTAAAGTTATGAATTTTCTAAAAAAATACGGAAATAGTACAGCTCCATGTTAAAATTCCATATAAAACAAAATACCTTTCACGCTTTTCTCCAGGGGCTCAATTTTAGTTGAATACAAATATAATTATTGTAACGGTAAAACGAAAATCATTTAAGAGCGGCAACCGTTTTGATATTTTTTAATTTTTCCGCATGAGAAATATTTGGTAATTAGGATTTTTTAATTGATTGCTAAAAATCTTGAAAATTCCAAGAAAATAACTTGGATTTCAAAATTACGTCCATTATAAATCTATAAAGAAAATGATATATTATATGTCCCTATTATACAGGGTGTTTTGGTATAAGACAGTATAAATTGAGATAGAGAGCGGCAAAGTTGATTCTTTAAAATTAAATTTCACCCATATATTTTCCAAAGAACAATGGACTACGTTGACATTTGAAGTTTTGAGGCTGCCAAATACGTTTGCATTGTTAGTTTCTGTCCATCTGCTAGATGTCGTTAATTACAATCTTTTTCAGTGACATTTTATAACAATTTTTTTAGGTTAGATCCTTTATAGAATATATTATATAGGTATAGGCATAAAAAATTGATCAAAAACGCAGTTTTTGAGAAATACGCAATTAACTGCCGCAAATTCAATTATATTCTTTAATATATGGGGTGTCCAGAATAGTTCTTACTACAAGGGTAGTTTCGAGGATAGTTTCCTTGGATGAAAATAAACCGATATAGATCAATATGCCTCAGTATAATTTTGCTACCCTAGAAAGTTATCTTATTATTATTTTTTTAATTCTATTTTAATTAATACTGATTGTGAGTTAAATGTTTAAGGAAGTAAAATTGTATTAAAGTAAAAAATTGTACTAAATCGGTTTATTTTCATCCAAGGAAGATACCCTTGAACTACGTCACTTTGTATATTGAGGAGTAGAAACTGGTTGATTATGAGACAGCCAATTACGTTTTTCTCAAAAACGAAGCGTTTTTAGCAATTTTAACAAGAGTATTCTTTTTATGAAAATTCAAATTTTATCCTATCATAGAGGGTGTTTCAGAAAGACCTCCCGTAAATTCAGGGGGTGATAGTACGACAAACAATAAGAATTTTTTGTCTTATGAACTATATGTTTACCTCCTCTTGTTTTCGAGATACAGAGCTACAAAATAATTTTTTTAAAATAGAATTTTTACGAAAGTTTCCAAACGGTGCGAAATATTTTTATGAAATTTGGTATTTCGGGGTTTTTAAGGACGCCAAATACGCTGGTCTAATTATTCTTTGGATATTTCATAGAGGGCGCTAGTTACGCTACATTCCTATTACATTTTAGGTTCTAATTTTTTTGTGGTTAGGTTTCTTAGCATTCGGGCTCCAATTTCTAATGTACAATTTTATTTTCTAAAAATAATGTATTCTTGTTAGAACTTCCTAATGTGGACGGTTTTCGAGAAAAAAGGCTTTTACAATATTACGGTGTAGAAAATAAGTGACTTTTCTCAAAGTAGGCTTATGTCAAAACTTATTGATGGATGTCTCATAAACAACGCACACATTCTTAGTAATATTTTAAACTCTATAATTAACTTTATATCAAAATTTTAGTGACTGTAATTAGTCATTACTAACTACAGTCACTAACCCCCTGAATTTACGGGGGGTCTTTCTGAAACACCCTGTATAACTATCACGTCACATTGTACAAAATACCACTTCAAAATGTTATGTCATAAAATGTCACTGGAAATGGTCGTAAATAGCGACCTCTAGCAGAAGGCCAGAAGTTAATAACACCGATGTATTTAACGTACATACTAAAATGCACCTGTACCAAATTTTATTTATTTATTTCTGTCACTACATTGTTTTTTGGAAAACATATGGACAAAATTTGATTTAAAAAAATCTTATTTGACGCTGTGCATCTCAGAAACAAGAGACTGTAGTCTCTTAGAAGAAAATATTTATAGTTTTTTATGTTTGCTGAATTTATGGTACAAAGCACCCTGTATAAACTGTTTAAACAATGCATTTTTAATTCTAATTGTTTGATTAAAGGTACATTAAACAAATATTAAATGTGATAATAAAATAATTTCATTATAAGTACATTGTGTTGCCAATTCTTATAGCTGTTTTACATTGACAATTTATTCATCAATAAATTGACGACGTTCTTCATCAATTAATTCACGAACTTATTGGTAAACAGTGTGGTTTTATACTGCTAAAGACTTTGTCAAGTTTTTTGACGTATGAATCAGTTCTACCAATGAATCAAAGAAGCAAATAAATTTCAAAAATGTCACCTTTCCACTCATAATTGTAGTGATACAACAGCGGTACCGTTCTGACACATATTATATAGCTGTCAAATAACTTCATCAATTTATTCATCAAGTTCTTGACGAATTAAAGCATGTTCTAATTTTCGTCAATTTCTTCGTGAAGTTCCGAAGCACCAACCCAACACATTTCCAGCCTCAGATCAGTAATGAGGTTATATTATTGGAATATGTAAATAATTGTGTGGCGTCGCGCTAGTTTTGCATTGTTTTTACTGATTTGTAATTTACAAAAACTAATATTTATATAATATGTGTCAGAACGGTACCGCTGTTGTATCACTACAATTATGAGTGGAAAGGTGACATTTTTTAAATTTATTTGCTTCTTTGATTCATTGGTAGAACTCATTCATACGTCAAAAAACTTGACAAAGTCTGTAGCAGTGTAAAACCACACTGTTTACCAATAAATTCCTGAATTAATTGATTAAGAACTTCGTCAATTTATTGATGAATAAATTGTCAATGTAAAACAGCTATTACATTTGTCCAATTTCTTGATAAAGCGATTTAATCAATTAATTGATCAATAAATTGTCAATGTAAAACAGCTTTTACAAGAATTATTATTTAAATTTAATTTATTGCGATACGTTGTATGTATTGTTAATTCTTCAGTTATTTACATTACTTGCTACTACGGTCATTAATGAAAATTATTTAGAAAATTTGGTTTTAACTTTTTGTTGTGAATACAGTATGTTTTCAGTAGTCCAGCCAGCCAAGCTAATGTATAAATTACTCCCGCAATGTCCC